GGCGCAATAAGCTGCCGCAACGCGACAATCCTGATTTCTTCTGCATCAGCCTTCATGGGTCCCACCATTTGATTTTTTGTATGTGGACCATTTTCATTCGTTTGAGCTTTTTGATGCACCATTAGGCCTTTGAGCCTCACGATGAGCGATTATTTAAATATTTAATTTGATTCGTAATCGTCTCAATTACGATTTTGATTGATGATCATCCTGATGACAATCATTGTGCTGATTAAGCAAGCCTAAGATTGGCTAAGCATGCACGCCTAACACATTGGTAAAACAATTTTGAGAGGCGACTATGATTGTCTTAGCATGTTCACCTAATCATTAGTTGAGAACATTTAAAAACACCTAAGCGTTGGTGGCAAATATTAAATTCCTAAGATTATTGGAAGGTTTCTACGGAAGTAAGTTTAAATCTCGGTAAAATCTTGAGATGAGATGTCATGGTGAATTTTCCAAAGATGGAGAGGATACCACTTCTAGGAGTGAAGGCAAGAAGATTTGAAGATCCCTAAGCATTGTGATCTTCGACAACGTTCTAAAAGATTTAGAAAGGTGAGAAGACGACTAGAGATGAGGAAGTCTTAGACAACTTTCGCTAAGATTGTGGAGGTTGTTATCTAATTTAAGAAGAGGTTCGTGATGTAGCAGTCTTCGACGGCTTTCGCTCCAATTACGGAAATTAGCACCTGATTTAAGAAGACGTTTAGTGATGTAGCGGTCTTTGATGGCTTTCACTAATATTGTGGAGTTTATCACTTGATTTAAGAAGATAGTTTATGATGTAGCGGTCTTCGATGGATTTTGCTAAGATTATGGAGGTTATCACCTGATTTGAGAAGACAGTTCATGATATAGTGGTCTTTGACGACTTTCGCTAAGATTGTGAAGGTTTTCACTTGATTTGAGAAGATGGCATGAGATGGGTGATCTTCGACGACTTTCACTAAGATTGTGGAGGTTGCCACCTGATTTGAGAAGATGGCACGAGAAGGACGATCTTCAATGGCTTTCGTTAAGATTATGGAGGTTTTCAATTATTTACAGGTTATAATCAGGTCGGGTCATTCTCAGGTTCGAGTCGGGTTTAGTTCAAGTCAATAATTTGCGGGTTATGATCAAGTCGAGTCATTCTCGGGTTTGAGTCGGGTTCGGTTCAAGTCAATAATTTGCAGGTTATAATCGAGTCGGGTCATTTCCAAGTCAATAATATCAAGATTTTTTTTAGTAATTTCATATGGCACAATGCCCATCTTGAATTTTAATTTCCTAGAAAACCATCTGTCACATTTCTCAACTGTTTCGTCCCTGAAATTCGTCCCTAAAAACATATTGTAAAACTAACCTCTTAAAATTCAAAGTGAAATATTGGAAGAATAGAGTTAGGATTCAATTTCCGTTCCAATACCAATATGAGATAACAACCTATACATATTGATTCAATAACAAGTCGGGTTGAATTTGGGCCGAGTTATTAACAAGTGCGGTTGATTTGGGTCGGGTTTATAACAGGTCAGGTTGAAATTCGAGTCGGGTTAAATTCGGGTCGGGTTAGGAACATATCGGATTAAATTCGGGTCGGGTTAGGAATAGGTCTGGTTGAATTTGAGTTTTAACGGGTTTAAACCGGTTTAGGTCAATTTCGGTTCTGGTCGGGTTCGGTTCAGGTCAATAATTTACGGGTTACATTCGTGTCGGTTCGTCTATAAGTCGATTAATGTTCGGGTATGGGTCTCAAATACTCGGGTCAACTGGGGTCTAGGGTTGGTTTCAGGTGGGTTAGGTCGGGTTAGGGTCACCATTTTTTTTGGGTTTAGACGGGTCGTTTAATAAGTCGGGTTAGGGTCGGTATTTTGGGTCCGATAAGCTTTAGACATCTCTAACTAGCTAATCTCGAAGTTGCCTTCGACCTCGACGTGAAAGGTTGATAGTTCTAAGGGTTTGGCCCAAATCTATACTTCAATTCATAGTTGATTTGTTCGTTTGATTTAATCTTTCTTGAACTTTACGTGTGTATTGTTTTGATAGAAAGAGATACGAGGCATCAAAGTGAGAAATTTGATTGCTTAATTGTTCTATTGATATAGAAATCATGCTTAGAATATTTTTTTTCATTCTTAGTGTCATGTTAGGATGTTCTTTTAATTCCTAATATCATGTTAGGATGTTGATTTTAATTCCTAGTAAATGGTTAGGGTGTAAACTAATATTTCTAATATTATGAATTCTAGTATCATGTTTATGATAAAGCTTTGATCTTGATTATTAGTGACATGCTAGGGTTTGTAATTAATCTGTTTAGTATCATGTCTAGGACCTTGCCAATTATATTTTGATGATATTTATATGAAGATGATTGTTGTGTCAATTATACATTGCTTAATTATTCATAATATATTAATATTACTTGATTACGGATTTTCCGTAGGTTCAAAGGGAATTTGTACTTAAAATCACGCCTAATAAGATAATTAATAATTTGATTTAGGGCTAATATGATTTTAATTCATGTGATCACAAATAATAGATCTATTTGTGCATTAATAATCAACCAATGTAAATTAAACAAGTTTAGGACTAATTTATTGTATGTATGTTGATCAAAAACTGCACATGAATATCATAAAAATTAAATAGAGGCCAATTTAAGGAAAGTTCAATCTCTTTTAGGTAGGATTCTTACTACCATCCTCAAATATCAAGTCATAGTTCCAGACCACTATGAAGTTAGCGATCTCCATGATCGTGAATGAGGTATAACTTTCACACCCATGAACAGTTTATAAGTTTCTAAAACTTGTTGGCGACTCTTTTATCTCTATCTTCCTTCCTTTTGGACGCCACCATGCCTATAAGCATGATCATAGTGGGGCTCAAAGTTGATGCTTGAAATACTCACTACACCCTTAGATTTAAGAGATGATTAAGGTGATTAAATCTTCATCTTTATTACGATTTATTCACCCCTCATTGATGCTTTTGAGATTCTTCTATGATCTTCCATGTTCTTCTAATCTTCTCTATATATAGAAGAATCATTTTCCGATTGTTAGACACTTGAAAAACACATCAAACACAATAGCTTAAACACATTCTTTATTGGGCATAAGTTATTTGACGCTAACCTTCAACCCAAAAATGTCTTTAACTGGAAATGGTAGGTTAACCTTAGAAACGTGCTGACTAATACTATAGAGCACCTGGTTGCGTTGGAATTTTGTTTTCAAATCAGTGATTTGCATCACGACATACCGATCATGTTCCATTGTTATAAGATTAATTTTTCGATTTTATTGTTCTCTAATTTTGTAGCCTTGAAAACCACTTATATTACAACATCACTTGCATTCATTCATAAAAGGCGTTGATAGAAAAACTTTTAGCGATAGGGAGTACGCATTTTAAATGAGTATCTCCACTCATGGTAACTGCAAGAAAAGGATTTTCATCCCATCCACTTTGTTTGCCTTATGACACAGAGAGTAGCAATCGTGGGCATCAAAATTGAGTTTAGCGACGTATGACAAATCAGTTAGCTAGTTCTTAAGTGGTTAAAAATTGGTTGTTATAGGTGGATGCATTGCTATGACGACTTTAAACCATTTCGAAAGCCACCTAACAATAATTTCAAAAATTATATAATGTCTCATTATCCCTATTTTCTACTTAATACCTTTTAGCATACTAAATTTTTCTAAGGTAAAAAAACATATACTAAATTTTTCTATTGCTAGGGTAATAAAAGTCAAACTAAGCAAAATGAAAGTGTAGAAAATGATTAGATAATAATGGTGTATTTGTAAGACAAATTATGTAGTGATGGTGTCTTGTAAGACAAATTATGCAGTGATGGTGAAATATGAGGTGAAGAAAAAAAGACTCATTTTGGGGGTAATAGTTACACTAGGGTAAAAGTGTGTAACTATTACCCTCATTATGAGGGTAATGATTTCTCCATTCTCTCTTTTCCTCATGGATCAACTACCTCATTTCATTTGCAAAAACCATACTTTCTACAATTAAACCTCTAACTACTTGCATTTTTTCAAGTTTAAATTTTATTATCCCTTTAATATATTACCCTTAATCTTAGCTTAGTATGCCATTAAACTTGATGCTAACACTGAGAAAGTTTAAAGAGAGTATTATTATGTATATTCTGACTTTAGATTAGTATCATTGAGTGATCAATAATTCAATAGTACCATTGGGTGATCAAATAGTAGTATTGAATATTTAGTGGTACTATGTATGTATGTATGTATGTATGTATGTATGTATGTATGTAGTGGTACTAACTACTCCCGGCCTCCGTCCTCGATTGATAGTCACTTTTGAAGAATATATGACTGGAATTAAGGAGAATTAAAGAAAGTACATTGAAAAAGTAAATTTACATTGGGTATGCAAAAAAGTAGAAGAGAAGGTAATTAAAGTACATGGTAAAGTAAAATTTACATTAGAAAGTTAAATTTAATTTGCACAAATATTTTCACAAATGTTAGAGAATTTTGGTTAAAAAAAATAATATTAATGGGACTTGAAAAAAGCAAATGTGACTAACATTTTGGGTGCCCAAAAATGGCATAAGTGACTATCAATCAGGGACGGAGGGAGTACGTGCATATATTGTATCACTGAATAACCAATGATATTTTATAAGTTTTCACTACTATAATGGAAAGTGGTTTCACTCACCTTTCAGTGCATATAGCATTACCCTGTTTTTAATATTTTAGTAATTGTGCATAAGTACTTAATCTATTGCACACATGATTTTTCATTGTTGTATCCTATAAAAAACAAAATATTGTACTTTTATAATTATTCTTAATGCACATCACACATTCCTTTAATGCTCCTAACAATTACATTGATGAAATATGATAAACAAGCACTTAATTACAGTATGGACGGAGTACAAATTAATTAATGTATTGATGTGAATTGAATAGTTTCATATCAGAGCCTCAAAGATCCTTGTACAGAATAGAAACTCGTTTGACACCAAAGTATATCAATATTCAAGTTGAATTAATTAATAAATAAATGTTTACACCTCCTTCTGAGACATAGATTTGAATGTACACACACCCAAGTATATAGTAAAACACATACATACAAATACATATATAATCAGTTGAAAGTTACAATCAATTTCTTACACGATACATGTACAAGAATTTACAAATATAATCTCTTTGAGCATACACTCAAGAAATTGAAATGAGGAACAACAATATCGTCATTCCTAAATTATCTAGGATTTGAATTGTGCTCGTTTGAAGGCCATGATAGTGAGAACAAAGAGGCAAATGAAAGTGAAATATGACAAGCCAATAGAAATGGCAATATAATTGCAAAAAATTGTTGCATTATCGCATATCTTTGACCATCCTGTTTGGTCTTGCCCATATTTCCCTACATATCCAATTGCTGTTGCTGCTGCACACCCGGAGATCATCAACACCGTAACTATCTGCAATATAAATTAAACTATTAAAATAAAATAAAATATTATAAAAATAAGAGATAATTTAACCTTGAAGTTTTTCGTTGCTTAAATTTAGAAGCAAAATCGTAAAAAAATCAGCAAAATAAAGTATCCAATCAGAAAGGTTTTTTTTTTGTAATTATATCAATAATTGTGGGTCCAATATTTTTTTAAAAGTTGTTGATTCTTTATAGTGTTATCACTTGATAAACAAAATGTGACAAGCTTGTATTTTCTTATTCCTAATTATATTTTTAATGTATATTGAGAATAATAAAACAACATTTTAACACATTACATCTGATAGCTTAGATTTGAAATCAAACTTAACATGAAAATAGTGAAAAAGTCAAAACAGTTAGTTGCATCTATAACTAGTATACTTTTGGAATTAAGTTTTCAATAATAAACTGTGACCACATTTAAACCAATATACATTAAAATTTATATTATGTTTAAGTATTGATGGATGTTTCTTTTAATTAATAAAAAAGTATAGATAGATGTGGTTTTATTTAACTTTTTATAAGATTAAATTTTTTTATACATAGTAATTATTATGGTACGAATTTGTAGTTAAAGACAGCGATGCATGGTTAAGTCGTGTTTTGGACACAATATATATAATTCATTGTTGCAACTATAAGAGAACTAATCGAGAACGTATAAATACAAAGAATGTACCTTCTTTTTGAAAGAGGTCGGGTATAAATATATATAATACCTTCAGTTTGTATTATATGCAACTTTAATGCATTATTTGTGAGATATAAAACCTTCTAAACTTGCATATAATATGAACAAGGGGTAGTATATAGAGTGATAAAGGTATGACATGCACTTTTAAAGCTAAAATTATGTGATTGGCCCATAATAAACAATCATGTATGTTAAGGACAATTGCTTAAGCTGTAGTATTAGCTACTTACCAAATCCTGGAGAAATAAAGAAAAGTAGGCCTTCCAATTGGTTTTTAGTGCAAAGAATACACATATAGTGAATATTGAAAGCACTAAATATGCACATATGGCGATATTTGTACCAAGCAAGAACCTGCATGTTTATTGCAAGAATATGGTCAACTAACTAGAATAACTACTAATAATAATTAATGCACATAAAGAACATTATTATTAATGAACTTTAATTAGTTATTTATTTAAACAAAAATAGAATTGAATAAGAAAATTACTTGAATGCTGAAGAGTAGCTGTACTTTGCTTGTATTATGATACCAAAAACCTCGGTAGATTGGCCACTATTAACCATAACAAATATAGAAGCTATAGCAGACATTGCTGCTAAGCTCCTAAGTAAAATTTGTGTTACACATAAGATTTTGCAAGACGTGTTTGCCGGGGGATTGGATTCATTAGCGTGTAAACCATCATTCAAACCCATTGCTAAAATCGCGTAATTTCTTGATGAGGCTAAGTCTTTGTTGATGGGTATACGAAAATATTAACGTAACTCTCCTTAAGGATAGAAAAATAAATAGAGAGAAAGAAAGAAATGAGTTAGTACAATTGTACAAGTATGTGAAATGTAAGTAGTAGGTCTGAACTTATACTAGTATATGAAAAGGCGATTATAATTAAATTAAGGATTTATCATGCGCTTGCTTGGGGGTTATTCAGGACACATAAAATATTTATTTAAACTTACGACTTTGGGTTCAACATTTATAATTTATTTTATATTCTTATTTAATATAATCCACATCTAATTAATAATAAGTCCGTGTATGATTTATTGGGGGCCTTCACCTACAAGATCAATCAATTACTATTTTCATAAGGGAAGTTTAATTTTACGAATTGCAATGAATACACAATTTTAGGAATAGTTTAAGTTTTTTTTTTTTAATTGTCATCTTTAGGAATTTATCCCTACCTATACCATCTAACTCATTATTACTTATTTGCCTTTATGAATGTTATTTTTTTTTTCTTGAAATCTTAAGGATATTGTGTAGTCATTATACTCTTAAAATATTTGCTTTCATATTTTTTCTTATTAATGTTTCCAACAATTAAAGTTATGGCATAATGTCAAATCAAAAGAGTTATCCGAGCATAACTAATTATGGTGCACACATCGTGTCCCTTAGCCCCCTAGTATGTGTAAATGTGAGGTTTGTATATTGAAATTTTATCCGTCACAATAAGATTTTAGTGTTACATGTCTCTTAGCCCCCAGTATGTGTAAATGTGAGGTTTGTATATTGAAATTTCATCCGTCACAATAAGATTTTAGTGTTACATGTCTCACTCAATACATCTAATGAGTAGGTAGTGCATTAATTATTTAATGGTTGGATGAACACCTAATAGCATTTTTTATTCTTTTAAATGGTAAGATACTGGGGTTCCCCCCACCTTATCACAGGAATGGAGGGGAAGAGAATTGAACCCCCAACCACTTGTGAGGTATGTCCTCGAAAACCTTATAACATTAGAGTACATTGTATTAACTTTCTTAACAAAATATACTTCCTGCGTCCTAAAATAGATGACACGTATTGACTTTTGACACTTTTCATTAACTTTTCTTTGATTAACCTTAGTGATTTATAGGTATAAAAAAATATAGTCATTTGAGATTAATAGATTCATTTCAATGTGTATTTAATTAAAATTCAATTTTTAGTATTTTTTTATAGTATTATAATCAAAGATATTTTTCGATTGAGCTTTTACAATGACAAACGTGATAAAAGAAACGTGTCATTTAATTTGAAATGGAGAAAGTATTTCATTAATCTATTAAATAATAGCAATATGTTGGTTTGTTTTTATGCACTAATTTTAAGTCAACTTTGCATGTTTTGAGAAACAAAAGAAGAATGTATATATTATGCTTGCTTGGACATGATCATCCTCTATTATTTTATGGGGCATAATAATATAAAATTATTATAATAGAGAATTAAAGAATGGGCATTTTAAAAAAAGCATAAATACTCAGAATCATAAAGCCTCTTTAATACTATTCAAAAAAAATTATAGCCTCTTTAAAATCAATTCAAGTAGCAGTAAAAAATATGTCATTGGGTTGATTCGATCATATCAATTTGCTAAGTACTCATAATGTTTTTTAACTTTATTAGTTGAGAATTAGAGATACTTTATTGATATTTTCAATTAGCTAATTTTACATTAAGAAAGGATGAATAATATTACACATTGATTAAGTGTTAACCCAAAACACTACAAATTTTAATGCATAACAAGTGGTACCTTTATTAGTACAATCAATGAAATTTCTTTAATTTATTCGTGTGCTTTTACCTGTAAAAAAAATAACATTTTATTGGTTATACCTTTAAAATATAATGATTGTATAGTTAAAAATCTCATTAAACTTAAATCATAACCTTATACCTAGGAAAAAACCAATACCAAATCTCTAAAAAAAATTGAAGTTTCTATCAAATTAAACACAAAATTATAGTTCGGAGAAACATGCTCATTTATAAAGAAGGAAGGGGAAGATAGAAAATTGAGAACATAATATCGAAGGGAAAAATAGAAAAAATCAACCAATGAAAATGGAGTTATCATTACCTTTAACATAGCATTCTCTTAAAAGTTTCTTGAGGATCCCCAATAATAATAATAAATTAATAAAAATAATACTACTCCGTAATAAACTATATAGTAATATCTTTATATAATAATGAAAATGAAATAAAGAAAACAATGAGAAGAGAGGGCATTAACCCTTAAATTAACTTTGTGGAATTAGAAGAGAATAGTCAGTTATAAAGATTCATGTTGATTTTAGTTTGCGTGAATTGTGGAGAGTCAACTAGATTTTGTTGTTTCATGATATGTTAAATATAATTGGTTTGATTAGACGATTATCCATAACTAAATGATAATTATTAGTGAGTTACAAGATAATAATAATCTACAAATACATGATAATTCCCAATTGTTAAATAATATATGCCAACAGTCATTCAATAATATCCATCAATGACGCTTAGTCTTTTTATGGCAAATCCTATATTGTAGTTATACTTTCACACCTTGTAAATGACCATACCACTTGTTAACATACTATCTCCATGTCATATTAATTTTTAATGGTAAAGTGATATACTTGGTAACTTATCCAGCATTTGTAAAATTGTAAATAGCTAAAAATTTAATGATAGTATTTTCTCTTTTATATGTTTATTATCTTGAGATTGAAATTTTAATTAAAGTCTAGAATATATTAATAAAATAAGGGACAAAGATATCCACCTTTGCCATGTTGCTTTATTCTTGGCTGGCGTATAAGAAGGGCACATGTTCCAACTCTATCAATTAGCACAAGACTCAAAATATATTTTCGCTAATGTGTCTACAATTTTGAAACCTTTTTTTTATATGCTTCAAGTAGTATTATGCTAATTAAAAGATATCGGATTTTTACATTTGACCTTTTGTAAGAGTTAGTTTCCAATTGGTTCAATAGCAACTTGTGCACTGTTATTATAAGATCTTTTGTAACAAAAATTAGCTTTATAAATATGTTGTATTGCTCTCATGTTTGAATCATTCAACAAAATAAACAAAACTTCATCTCTCTCTAGCTTATTGAAGCTTTCTTCTATATTTTCTATATTTTAATAGCCATTGAGCTATTGAGCAAAGCTCCTACAACATTGGTATCAGAACAAATAAGTTGCCTTACTCTACCAATTTCACCATTGTTGTCAAAGTAGTGAAACTCAATTCATAATCATAAGGTTTGTTGAAAGGCTCAAGTGAGTTCTTAACAAAACCCGGAAATTTTGATATTAATTGGGTTCGATGTCTAATTAGACTCTTAATCTTTGAACTCTGTAATTCTATTTAATTAAAATTGAAGAAGTTTATCCCTCTGAATTTGAATACCCTATATATATGGATCAATTTTCAAACAACAACGTAACAATAAATATTATTTATCTCTCCAATCCCACCCTATTACTCGTCAAACCTCCTTCTATCCCCTAGTCTCACCTCACTTTAGCGAGGATGGGGCAAGTCTTCTATTTAACCAGCTAGTTGGCCACCCCCACTAACATCCATAAATACAAATATTTCATTCCATATGTGCATATGGTATCCGTTTTTACATATTTTTATTTTTTGATACTCTCATCACATCATTTCACATCTTAATAATTTTTTTTTTTTCAAAAATCAAACTACCTATGCATGGTGGCGGAGCCAGGAGTATATAACCTGGGGAACGACAACTAAATACCGCATCATTTGACAAAAAAATATATAAATAAAAAAACTAAACACAACGATAGGTTTATAGTTAAAATTTTACAAACAAAAAGTCGACAATTTATAATTAGTCCTACAAATAAAAAAAGATTAAAAAATATGTACATAAATTTTAATATTAAACTAGGGCCTGTTCCGATTGACTGAACTCAGCTGAACTGAACTGAGCTGAGCTGAATTGAACTGAACTGAACTGAACTTATTTATTAGTGATTTTTAACTACGGATTAGTGATCTTTTATTATTTATTGATTATTTATTACTATACATATGTGTATATACAAATGTACATATTAAAATATTTATGAAAAATATACTATATAATTATAATTATAAAATGTATGGAAAATATATTATAAAATGTATGGAAAATATATTAAAAACTTGAAACCTCTAAACATTTTAAACACATATACTATTTAATTTAAAAATAACTGATCAAATATGGGAGTCAGTTCAGAGGAATGCCGAGGTAATGGAGGAGTTTGGTGGACAAGAAGAAGACGAAGAACTAACTGACTATGAAAATTAGTTTAAGTTGTGTAGTATTCTAATTTTCTCAATGAGATTAACATTAGAAATATGTATCAAAAAAATAGAACCATTTGAACAATGAATTGTATCATTATTATTGTTATTATTATTATTATTATTAATTATTGATTATTATTATTAGTATTATTATTAGTATTATTATTATTATTGTTATTATTATTATTATTATTATTATTATTATTATTATTATTATTGTTATTATTTATTGATGATTATTATTATTATTATTATTTATTGATTATTATTATTAGTATTATTATTTCAATTATTATTGTTATTATTATTATTATTATTATTATTGTTAATATTATTATTATTATTATTATTATTATTATTATTATTATTATTATTTTTGTTGTTGTTGTCGTTGTAATAAGAGTTTGAAAGAATGAAAGTTGGCTTTATATCATTAGCAATATCATTAGACATAAATTAAGAGCTGAGCTTAACTGAACTGAATTGAACTGAACTGAATTTCAACGGAACAGAACAGGCCCCTAGTGTGTACCCCGGACGATGCCCCGGGTTTCTAGTTTGTGTACTTCTTGCTTTACTTTAGCAATTATGTTCGACTATTTGTATAGTAAGTGTGTAAGTGGTTCGGGCGTTGCCTCATATGTCACTTTTTTTTTTTACATCATATGTTTTTATATTCTAATCTTGTGAAAAATAAATAAATTATATTACCTTTATTTTACTTAATAATTGAAAGGTATATATAATATTATGTGCAACTTGAAACATTAATAATAGTTGGTTGAGATGGTGAATGTATTACTTATATGTATTGGAGGTTATGGGTTCGAATCTTGTTC